AGCCACCATGCCCGGTGACGGGGGGGGGGGGGGACGATATCAAAATGAGACGGAAATAAAAGAGAGAGAGAAGAGAGAGAGAGAGAGAGAGAGAGAGAGAGGGAGAGAGAGAGAAAAAAAGGGGGGGGGGGGTAGCAGACATATGAGTTGAGAAATGGATGGGTTTATTGAAATCGATGGAATTGACTGGTATCCCATAACGAAAGTCTTAAAGAAGTCATCATAGCGATTATTGTAATATCATTTTCAATTTGGGTTTTGTAATTCGGCGTTCACTTTAAGCATGATAAAAAATACATGGACAGATAAACTATGGCTAGAAGAAGAACAAAGTGTGCTCTTACTTCTAGCTGCTCGAAATATTATATTATTGTGTTTTTTGTGTGTGTATAAGGTGTTTAATTTCCTTAATACCAGAAGTGGTACATATAATCAAAATCATGCAATTTACATCATACTGACTTTACATCACATTCAGAATAATCAAGATACAATACAAAATTATAATTCTTAATCAACATCCATCGCTAATAAAAACAACTCTTTGATGCATTTCCATATTCGCTTAAAACAATAATAGTAATAATGATAATGATAAACTACTTAGTTATTTCATGTTCATTTTTCTTCTTTCAAAAACGCTTCATCTGTCGAAGTAAAAAAAAATTGCTTGAAAATGACATGATATAATCTGTAAATAAAAGAAACAATAATAAAAACAGTATAACTTCTGAAAAGAGAAAAACTCCGCCAGAGAGAGAGTGAGAAAGATGCAAAAACTGAAATACAAAACAAACAAACAAAGCAAAGCAAGAGTGATGGGAAAGAGGGCTGTGAAAGTGTTTCTTTCAAGCGTATTTATATGACACAAAACCTTCCAAGGCCTCCCACTTTTAAAGTGAATTGAAAGAGTATCCCTTTCCATTGCCATCCCCCCCCCCCCTTTCCCGGTGTTTAAATTCGGAGTCGATAATTTTTATATCGATTCTGAAATAAGAATACGTGTCACTTGATGAACAGAACAGTTACTCGAGCTGTTTTGAAATGACTGATATATCAATGTTTAGACAAACTGACAACGACATACTAGCATCAACTTGTTGTATAGTCTCACTTCAGTATTGAGTAAAAAAAAAATATATATAATAAAAGGAGTTTGAGAGGCACATCTATCAGCTATCTAAGATAATTCCATTCATCACAATCACAGCTTTGGACGAATGGCATTTCCTTACATACGACTGGGTTCCATTTCATTCATTTCGGACTGTGAAAGCATAATATTGATAAAATCGATCGAAATATTTTCTGAATCGTTTGGCGTTATGTAATGAGACAAAATGAAAAGAGAAAAAAAGAAAACAAACGTTCAGTAAATCAATTTCAGTCAGTAGCCAAAAGGCGTTTCCGCCCCCGACGTGACCACACATAACAAGGCTACTTTCGGTCCGTAGCTACAGACGGGCATGGCTGTGCAAGAGATGAAAAGGTGTCATTTATGCCCCCAAGACACGATTATGATGACGAATAGGAAAGGAAATGATTTCTCGCTATACCAGACGACAATAACCTACTTACATCGAATGGTTATTGTTGTCATGGTATTAAATTTGATTCCGTGCTAAGTGCACTTATATTGTTATGAAAATGTATATATTATTTTTCTCATCACCCTTCTATTGAACGACATTTAAAAAGCTAGTCTTGATTTTCATTTTATTATTTAACACAAATTATTCCCCTGGTTATGTTCATTTCTCCGACATCATAATCTGTTGTCTGTATTGTTTGGTTTGTGATTTGTGAGTTAATTTTTTAACAATATAGTACCTCTAAAATTCTGGATCAAGCTTGTGTAATCGCCAATATTGTATATAATTTGTAAACAAATGTCTTGTATGGGTAATAATAATTATATTGACAGGGTTTCTTTCGGGGTACATCAGAAATATTGACCAAGCTAAGATCATATTGCCCCGAGTCGAACAAGCCCAGTCAATATAATATGAATAATTTGCCTACTTTTCACATCTTGTTTCAGTTGCTGCCTCGCTCGAGCAGAAGCAGCTACTTGAGGACCTCTTCGTTAACCACAAGTATAACAGGATTGCAAGGCCAGTCTTGAACGAGACTAGTCGTGTAAATGTCACTGTGGAACTCTATGTAGGACAGATCAATGACGTGGTGAGGAAAGACATTCAATTCAATACGTTTCAAAGTAATATTAAGTTTCTTCCATTTTTTATATGATGAGGATGATGATGACGATGATGATAAGGATGATAATAATAATAATAATAATATGGTTATTTATATAGCGCCGGTATCCGTCAGGTTCGGATGCTCATGGCGTTTTACACATATTACCCTGGTCGTAGCCGAGCTGCCAAAGTAACTAGCGCTCAAGCATATCAGGTACCCATTTACACCTGGGTGGAGAGTGGCAAATGTAGATTAACGTCTTGCCAAAAGACATTAGTGATGATGATGATGATGATGATGGATGATGATGGATGATGATGATGATGATAATGATGAGGAAGATGTTGATGATGATGATGATGATGTTGATGGTGATGATGATGATGACGTTGATGGTGATGGTGATGATGACGATGATGATGATAATGATGATGATGATGATGATGATGATCGCAATGGTGATGATGATAGTGGTCGTGTTGATGATGAGGAGGAGGAAGAGGAAGAGGAGGAGGATGTTCTGTAGATTTCATGAATGGTCATGATCCTGATCTATTGTATTACTAAAAATCTGGCTGGGAAGGATCATCCCATACTAAATCAGCTCCGAACCGCGTCTGTCGTCGAGTAAACACAGCAACACCATCGCAAAGAACGTCGAAGAACCACTCAAGGGCATTTTCAAAACGCTTTTGAAAATATCCTATATAAATCATATTCGGAGGTTGTAATATATTATTTGACATTCGCACGTTTCGATGGATAGAGGACGTACATGGCTAAAGCAATTGCAATTGGTTGATTTTCTGAAGTCTTTGCGATCACAATAGGAGTATATTAACACAAAAAAACAATATAACTTATCAATGATATATAGTTAATGTGGTTAGATGAGCAAGTGTGCGTTTGTAAAATGGCGACTGGCTGGAATACTCCCCAGGGAATGGAGAATGTGCATACGTTGTGTGTGCGTTAGCCTGAATCCGATGACCGGGGTAAAAGTATTCATGTCAAGCGCTTAGACACAATCGTTTATATAAGCGCTATAAAAAAGCCGAATATTATTATTATTATTATTATCAATAATTTTGAAGAGTATGTTAAAGCACGGAAGAAGGAGTTAATTCCATTTAGAGTAGGCTTGTGTCGGTACAACTGAGTCAGTAATAACATAAACTAACTATACAATAGAGGAATAGACAAAGAAGGGAAGGAAAGAGGAAAGGAATGATTTAAGGTTTAGAGATTGGAAACGTGCTACGATACATTAGGGACTTTTAGATTCTGCCCGACGAAAACGCGGACTGACCTTTTAAGTCAATGTGACGTCACTGTCAGTGCCTTAAAAGGACGTCACATTGCCTTAAAAGGGCAGTCCACGTTCTCGTCGTGCAGAATCTAAAAGTCCTTATTATATGATAGAGTTCAACTGTACTAGCGTTTACCTAACATGTATAAAAGTACTGTACAGAGGACAATGAAATTGCAATATTTGACGGAGCAAAGGGACAAATTTCGTTTGAATTACAAGCTCTTTTAGTTGACTGTATTGTGTTTGGTAAGTTTTAGGTCTTTGGAACTATACCTGTATAATACACTTTATAAGGGGCTTTCTTTCTGTTATTCTTTCTTTTATCATTTCTTTCATTTTCCCTGTTCTTTATTTTCTTTTTCTTTATTTCTGTCATAATGTGAAAATCGGTTTAACCAAAAATATGCAATTTGATTTTGTTAAAAACATAACGGAGAAGACTGTAAAACATGAAATGTTTTAAAGCCTCAGGTGTCTGTATCGCAGCTGTCAATATTCATAAGACAGTGATATATCATTCACACTTCAATGATTTCGCAATTAGTAACATTCCTAAACAGCCAACCATGGCGTAAAGGGATTAAAGAGCAGGGTCCCATTATTTTCCCTATCTTCCGAAGATCTTAACTTCTTCGGGGATACCTTGAAAGAGATGCTTAGAGAAAATTAATCAAACTTCGGAGAAAAACCTTGACCCTACCTTAAAAGAAAACAAGAAAATTGTAGAACATCCCCACGAATGCTCTAAATATCACTGTACACGCTCTCAAATGCACAATTTTCCGCCCCGCCCGTTCGATAAAATCAGAACACAGAAAATCATTACATAGACTATTATGCGCAAGAACACGCGATAATGGACGTATAATGATGCCTAAATTGGATTAACGGAAGAGGAGAGTGTACTGCGGCGGGCCCAATAATCGTGTTAGTGAGATAACTGGTATGACTGTAGGTCATGCGTTTAAGAAGCAAGCGAAAACATGGAAGCCAATCATTACGATCATTGTCACTTGATTTGTTTGCGACAAGAGAGGGAAAGAGAGGGTGGGATGTGTGAGGGTAGAGCGAGAGAAAGGGAGAGAGAGAGAGAGAGAGAGAGAGTGTGTGTGTGAAAGGGGCAAGGTTGTGAGACAGAGAGAGAGAATGAGAGAGAGAAAGAGAGAGAGAGTGTGTGTGTGCGAGGGGCAAGGTTGTAAGACAAAGAGAGAAAGATAGATAGAGAGAGAGAGAGCGAGAGAGTGTGTGTGTGTGTGTGCAAGGGGGAAGGTTGTGTGTGAGAGAGAGAGAGAGTGTGGGTGTGTGTGTGCGAGGGGCAAGGTTGTGTGTGAGAAAGAGAGCGAGAGAGAGAGAGAGGGGTGGTGAGAGAAGGGATGGGTGAAAAGCAGCTCAATATAATAATAAGGATAATGATAATGATAATAATACGGTAATTACAATTTTACTATACCATTACTAATGATTTTTTTTTTCCTTTTACAGAACGAAAAATACCAGACTTTGAGTACGATGGTCTGGCTGACACAGGTAAGTACAGTCACTGTTTAATCAAAGTATGAAATGCACTTTAATTCTAATCGACTTTAAGTATATTATACCAAGTTGTCTTTACTTTACTGAACAATATGGAAGCATTTAATTATGATGTATTAAATTGCTACAGTATCTAATTATTTGAATTAAGATAAGGATGGCATAATGGGTCATTTTCGTAATATAACGTAATGTAACGTAATTTAATGCATAATCCTTTGTGAATTTCCTCAATACAAATTATTACATTCACCTGATAAGAATAATATAATTTCAATAGTCAGAATGCAACTGCATATATTAAGTGTTGCTAGGTGGGTCAAGCCATAATGTTTGTTCTACCTGGCAACAACTAATGTGTGCAGTTTGGATTCTGTCTATTGAAATACTGTTATTCTTATCGGGTGAATGAAATAATTTGTATTGAGGCACTTCACAAAGACCTATGCATTGAAATTGGTTACATTACGAAAATGGCCTATTAGGAAAGGATATGGCTGACTAGCGAAATAAAACCGGTGATGAAAGTGTTATCTTTCTCCTTTGAATGTTCTTCCTACGTTCTGAAGAGGTGGCGCGATGAGTATCTGATGTGGGAGCCCCGAGCCTACAACAACCTTACAGTTCTTCGTATACCCGCAAGCAAGATATGGCTGCCAGATACTGTTCTCTATAACACGTGAGTTTTCAATATCTGGACAATTGCTCCGGACAAATCACACCATCTCCGGACAATCCTTCACCCAGGACGATTTCAAGCCGTGATGAAATTTGCCATCACGATTATTGTCCCTCATGATACCTACTTCCCGACTGAAATCTCTCTCACATCAAGTCGATTGGGTGAATTATGTTTTAATTAATAATAATTATAGCTAGTTCTTATATAGCGCTTTTTCAGGACCGCAGGCCCTCTCAGTTACAGATATATTACTACGTGTACGAATCATTACATTATTTTATCCGGGCAATAACTGTTTCTTTGTCATGTGATTCTGTTATATTCCGAGGATGGATGGTCCCAACCGAGCAAATTCTCGGATGACAATTGTCCGATGGGCATTTTCGAAATCACCAGAATATTCTGAATAGCCTTCATCACTGACACCTTGTTTTAAAACGTGGAATTTTACCTAAGTACAATTCAAAAGGACAAAAGGACAAAATGCACATTGATAGTGATCAGCACATATTTATCTCAGATCAGAGGGTCAAATTCAAAGTTAATTAGTTGTCATGAATGTTCAATATCCAAGTTATGTATGCTTCTAAGGAATTGACTCATTAATACACATGTAATGATCAACATGTATTAAGATCAATAGCTTTTGTTAAAATTATGTATTATGATTCCTTCCCAGTCGCCAATCGAACAACGACCAGCTCATGACAGTGGAGACGTTGACCATTGTCAAAAGCGACGGTTCCGTTGACTGGAGTGCCCCCCTCACCATGATCAGCGAATGCAGTATCAATGTGTACTACTACCCGTTTGACCAGCAGGAGTGCGCCCTCAAGATGGGGTCGTGGCAACATGATAGGAAGTTCATCGACTATCTAGATGGAACTGCTGATTCGGCCACCGAGCAGCGTAATGGAGAGTGGGACACAACGAGTAAGTCTAACAAGATTGCAACTACTTTTGAAAAAACAAACCTAAGACAATGTACGTCACTTTAATATTGAAATGTGCGGATGTAACACTAATGAATTACCTAATCCGATCGTGATTTCTCAGGGCTGTACAGTGTTGTATTGGTATTGGCCTTAGGCTGATTTTTCGACAGTCTTTGCGATCTTGATGTTTGTGTTTACTCGACGGCAGATATGGTCCCCAGTAGATTTGGTCTGGGATGATCTTTCCCAGCTAGATTTATGGTAATGCAATAGATCATGATCATGTACATGACCTTTACAATCATCAGTGACGTCGATACAACATCCTCATCCTCTTCTTCTTCGATATTAGTATCACTAACATAATCATCAGCACCATCATCACTATCACCAGAAGCTCTCTTCATGATCGTCATAATCATCACCCTCATCGCCAAGATCATCATCATCATCACCATCATTAATCGATAAATTACAACCTTTAATAATCATTTTCATCATCATCATCATCATCACCATCATCATCATCATCATCGTCATCATCATCATCATCATCATCGTCAACTTACATCATAAGAAAGCCGCCCCGGTTTACCCCGTCATATCTGAAATAATCAATACGACTACCCAAAAAATAAAGTTGTCTGTATCAATTTTCTTTCTTCTCTCTCTCTCTCTCTCTCTCTCTCTCGAGGTATCAAAGCTCATAGCAACATCAAGGTGTACTCCTGCTGTCCCGATAAAGAGTACCCTGATGTCACCTTTACCATCAACATCAGTCGGAAGCCTCTGTTCTATGTCGTCAACCTGATCGTCCCATGCGTCATGATCTCGATGATGTCAGTGCTGGAGTTCATCCTCCCCTGCAACTCTGGGGAGAAGGTGTCTTTGGGTATCACGGTTCTCCTTTCCCTTACAGTCTTCATGCTGGTGATCGCAGAGAACATGCCGGCCACCAGTGATAATATTCCAGTTCTAGGTGAGTCTTTAAGCAGTTCATGGACTCAGGTGAATAAAATATGGCTATTTATTTGAAGTATGACACGGGGGATTGATACGAGTCACAGCTCATTAGCGTGATGTTGGTTTATTCAAAGTTCATAAAACTGGCGAAAATACTAAGTCTTCAAAAATAGAATTGCTATCGGGCTTCAGTTTCTATGTAGTAAAACAGGTCAGTATTTTAGGCAGTCAAACGCCCGTTATTGCGATTGAATATCTAAACATTTTTTATTTTATTTTTTTTTTGGGGGGGGGGGGGGGGAGGATTAAGTCAACTACTCGTTGAGGCTCAAAACATAGCCATAGATTCTTCCTATTTAGTATCCCGTTGTCACACTCTTTTACTAGACCGAACTATGAGTAATTTGGCATATGTCCTTGACTAGCATTTTAAAATTTCCGATTTAAAGTGAATTACTGCTTTACTACCTGACGATGCTCCCCACCGTTGATAATAAATATGCCTTATATCTCACAAATTACAGTATTTTCTTTAATCTTGGACAGTTTTACATAATAGGACTTTTGTGTTGTTTTCCGCAGCCCGGTACTACATCATCACGATATTCCTGGTGTCGTTTAGTACAGTCATGACTGTTCTGGTCCTCAGCCTACACCATCGCCGCTCTCCTGTACCTCGATGGGTGCGCCATGTGTTCCTACGTGTCCTCAGCAGTATGCTCTGTATGAGGGTCGAATCGTCCAAGAACTCAACAGGAAGTCTCTACGATCGACCCACTGGTCCTGCTGGTGTCCACAGCACGGGGATCCACTTCGAGCTTATCAGCAATAACGAATCCCTCTCCGCTTCGGCGACGGACTACGCCCTCAAAGAAGAGACACTGCTTGGGTCTGGAGACATCTGTAATGACCTTGACAGCGGTGGGCTGCATGGCCGATCGGGAGGTACGACAGGACTCGGAGCAGGTGGTGGAGGTCGTGGGAATGGAAGAGGGGATAGTGGAGGGGGGCATCGTCAGTATAGCTGGAAGGATCGTTCTTTCAGGGACATCCAGAACAACGTAAAGTTTCTTGCCAGTCGGTACGCTGATAGAGATCAGGACGAACAGATTACATCGGATTGGCAGAATGTGGCAAGAGTGGTGGACCGCTTCTTCCTGATCATCTACATCGTGTGTGTAATCCTCATGGATGTTGTGATGGTTCTTCAGGTCAACTAGCACTTTTGGTTCTCGAGGACTAGCAACAAGGATGTGAAAAGGAACGTTCACCTAAGACAAGCAACCCATCACCATCTACACAATCCATGTCATCGTCATGGACTTATGTATGCTGTGATGTTTCTTGGAGTTCAATTAACAACTCATCGACATCATGAGTTCATTTGTAAATGATGTTATAATGGTTCTTCATATCTATCAATGGATGGTGGGATGGTTCACTAGGTCACCTAGCAACCCATCATTAACATCCTTGAGGAAATTCGTAATAGTTCGCAAAATGAAAAGGAGTTGATGATCTACATAATAAACAAGTCACAATCCTCAAAGATGCTAAAATGGTTCTCCTAACTCAGAGTCAACGGTGTCTGCTCGATATTTATAAAGACCGCCATTTATAAAAGACCGCTATTCATTTAGTCTCGCGTTATGGATAGCGGTCCTTACGAATAGCGGTCCTTATGAATAGCGGTCCTTACGAATAGCGAGGTAAATTGTCTATGGTTTGCTCGCTATTTATAAGGGCCGCTATTCATAAAGGAACGCTATTCGTTTTGTCGCGCGTTATGGATAGCGGTCGTTATGAATAGTGGTCCTTATGAACAGCGATCCTTATGGATAGCGAGCTTGACCCGAGTAAACTAGCAATTCACCCTCGACATAATCTATGTCTTCATTATAGGCTGATAGATGTTATAATTTTTCTTAGAGCTCAACTACTAAGATGAGAATAATCTTTGTCAGTCCGAATTGATGTTTTCATGGTTTGCCCGACTAGCACACTGAATTTGAAATAGTTTTCTGATCATCTACTTAGTCTACGTTGTCCTTAAAGAGAAGGTTGAGTTCTGGGAATTAAAAAATAATCTGTGAGCGTTATCAAGAGTGGAAGAACATCAGATAAAAAAATCCCACGAAAAGCATGGCTTTTCAAATGCCTTAATATTTTAAATATGGCATGTAACAACATAAAAATCGGGACAGATTTGTATGCCACATGTTTGTGTAGTCCCATATACATCTTTCTGTGAACAGTGCTTGTTACCTTACAAATACTGTGCCAATTTTTCTTATCATTTTGATGATTCCAGAACCTTGTAATACACACAAATACTTACAAGCATATGCTAGATGATCAACCTTTTCTGATCGATTCCACAACGTTTCTTTCATAATGCAATCACATGACCAGAACTCAACTTTATCTTTATCTTTAATATGCTGTAATGGTCCTCCGTGACAAGCAACACATGGATGTTAGAAATGGTTCTCTAGCTCAAATAGCATATAGTCATCCTGAAGGATGTTGTAGTAATCTCCTATGTCAACTAACAATTCATCATCTACATAATCTTTGCTAGCCCAAATGGACCTTGTCGTAGTTGATGTTATAATGTTCCTCTATGTCAGTATCAACTTATTGTCTAAATCGTCTCTGCATATATTTAGAAATGTATCTCGGTGTGCTCATCAGGAGGTAAAAAAATATTTAGCCTCATTTCCTTCTATGGTTATGAAGTTAACGATGAGCTAAACAAAAATTATGTAGGCCCAAGAAAGGAGGGGTGTATGGATTTGGGTATTGGACATTATTTCTAGGATTCTTTGATATTCCTAATTATACGATGTACCGATATATTATTAAGTTGAGCACGGTTTAAGTATAAAACACAATTGTAAATATCTGTCCATTTTATGCTTTGGACAACCTTTTTTTTGGTTGAGTGTTGGTCGTGTAGGAAAAATGTAGAAAAGAAGAGAGTGGTAGAAGAAAACTGTTGTGTTATTCTAGCTCGAGCATCTGCGGGACGGATTTTGTTATGAAAAAGAGTGATTTTATTGTTTTCAAATGTATGTTTGCTGTGTTCTTGCGACATTTATTAGCAAAGTGTATCAGGTATTCTGGCCCTTATTCTACTCAAATAACAGGACACGTCGCGACGCTTGGTTAAAGATAAGCTTGAGTTCTGGTAACGATAGAAAATAAATTCTCACAGAATCCAACAAAACTTACACTGAATGTTCAAGATTACAAATAAATGACATGTGCCGAACGATTTTGGTTGAAATTGAAAGGGGCTGAATAATGAGCATAGAAAGATAAGGAAACCAAGTAGGCCCGACAACATGTGCTTTTAATACACAGGTCACTTCCAACGTTATTTTCTTAGATTCTTCTTTTTCGTAGCATAATTTTTTATAATCAATGTCATAAGTTGAATCTCGCAATGATTGTTTGCAAATAATATTATTGTATGAATCCCAAATGTTAATCGCAATAAACTCGAAAATGAAAAAGACATATTCATTAAGTCAGGGCTACTTTTCACTCCAGCCAGCTTTTATTTACTGTGTGTACGTCGACGTCATTTTCTCAAGTGGTGGTTAGCTTTGGTTAAAAGTGAGATCAACAATATTTTCAAATGATATGTCATGACATAATCAGAACTCTTGAAATATAAAACCATTTAAAAGTTTTCTTTCAATTTTACATCTTGTTATCAAGTCATTACAAATGCATAACAAAGCATATATAGGCTACGTTTAGTTACTAATTATCACAGAAAAATAAACAGAATTATAAACAGCTGGAAATTATTACTCATTTATAACAATATAATTTGTTGTGCACTGAATACAAAATATTTCAAAAAATAGCCTCACACACAGACACGCATGCACACATACAATATTACCTATCCATCCTCCCCCTCCTTCCATACCCAAAACTCCACAATTCCCCCTCCCTTCCCGAGCACAACTACATCTACATAGTTGTTGGAAAAACCATTCTCTTCCATTTCTCACTGACCAAATTATATTAAATGTTTGAGTCTGATATAGAAATATTTGCCTCGCCGTCTTTAACTATGGAAGTTGTCCCATTTTCTTAAGTAAAGGGTTAAGTTACCTCTATCCTCGACTAATTCAATTTCTTCTAGACTTGTCTATTTTCTAAAACAGGAAATTTCAATTTCTCGAGGGATTTGGGGGCAATTTTTAGTTGAACTATACATAATTATCATATGTTGTATTACACCAGCATTGGATCCTGTAATATCCCGATATGAATTTCTTGCTAGTGTAAATTTTGTAACTTTGAAAAATATATTTTAAAAGGTCAACGCAGTCCTTCCAAAACTTTCTACCTTACCTTCTTACAGGTTAAAAAACAGATGGTATATACAGCACGATCGCAATGGCTTTGGGGCAACAACAAAAGTCAATAATCTATTGCGTTGCCTCTAGAAAACTTACTCGTAACACGTAGCAAGCCATTTCTTCCAGGCTATTGGTATTGACATTTGTTGATCTTTCTTCACTTTTTGTAATCATGGTATACAAGAAATCGTAATTAACATGAACATAGCTAATCCAGCCATAGAAATCGATCATCTTGAAGTAATGCAGCAAGATCTTCGTTGTAAGGTCGATAGAAATCGGAGAGTATTTCAACTGTAGCATTCATCATGGGAAACTTTGTCTTTGAATTGACGTTTTGGGCCCAGGAGTTGCATATCATTTTGATTGCCGTGTCCGATAGTGTTTCTGTTGAAAAGTATTTTGATACTGATAATTCTTTCTTTATTTCATTTTTTCTTTCGTTTTTAATATTCAATTATTACACTTGTTAACGTATGAACACAAATTATCAAAAGATATTTAGGACCTGTCAAGTGAAAAGGAAATACAAAATGCATTTGTCGAAATTTTGGCAAATGATGGTCTCATGAATATATTTTACTTCCAATAATCCATTTGGATTAGTAAAGCTAATCTTTAATTAATCAGTTTAAATAGAAATTTGTTCATATCCCATGTCGATCCCTCGACAAAATTGGAATGTTAACATGTGAAATGGAGGAATTTCAAACAAATATTCAATCTTTAAATCATGTTAATAGTGATATCTTATTCGGGAATCCGAACATTATGCATCGACGAATAATGATAGGAAAAAATATGAACACGATGGCTGTACATACCTATTTCAAGGAATGCATAGACTTTCGGGAGTAGCGTTAAACAATTGGCGTTCCAATCGCGCAGGCGCAGTATCAGTATGCTGTCACGTGGGAAGACTTTGAGCCAATCAGCGAGGAAGACCGAATACAACCCAACAGTAACCCTCTGTACAAGCAAAAGCAGGAAAAACACGATAAAACAACGAATTTTAGGTTCAAAACAGGCATCTACGGGGAGGGGGTGCAGGGGGCTCGAGGCCCGGGCGGCACTTGAATGGGGTGCAAACACACACGCCCGAAAATGTACACAAATCAAAGGTAAATGGGGAAAAATAAGGGGGGGGGGGGGAATAAATGATACGAAGGATAATACTACTCACAATTCACAAGTTAGATTGCGTTGCATTCAGGTTCTAGTAATATCGTGCTTAAATGTCATTGCTTGCCACGGGGGCCATCCATAAATACGGCACTGGGCCAAAGTGTTTTTGTTTAATGTACACCAAATGATGAAGACACCAAAAATGCCTACAAATCTTGCTGAAAAAGAAAAAGATGAAGTCTTATAAATAGGGAAAGAAAATAATGAGGTAATTGGTAATGATAACTCTGGAATGAGACTACCATACGAATTCACTGTCCCATTAAAGAATATCCTTGATGGTTGTCTCAGTATGTGCACTTACAATGTATCAGCAAGTTCCCCGGTCAGCTGCCCTATTTTATGAAAATTATCAAGATTCCACCCCCTCCCACCCCCCCCCCCCAAAAAAAAGTCCTCAAGAGGGGCGTGGACTTACTGCCTCTTGGGCACGAACTCTTTTCCCGGCACAGTATCTTAATGAGTGCGATTTGGTGCAACTTGTGAAATTGGAAATTGAAGACTCTACTAGGTTGTGTAAGTCGTTGGCATTCACCACTTTGTGATGAAAATACATATAATCGGAATACAGCCTGGATAGAAAATGAATGAAAAGAAGAGATAACATAAGTATTTAGCGCCGCTGTTGCTGAAAAAGTTACAAATTTCAAAATGTGTAATAGAATAATTCTGTCAAAGATTGGCTGAGTACTAAGCACCGTTTTTTCAAAGCTTGTAATTTACGTTTAAAATATATTTTCACCGCCTTGGACACGTGGATGCTTTATAGAAGTTGTTTTGTTTCAATAATTTACCTTCTTTTCTAGAAACACAAATGGTGTAGCGATAAGAAAAAATACTGAAACACACAAGCAAACGAACCTATCAGCTAAAGGATCACTAAAAGAAAATAAGATCATGTAGAAGGCTCTCTTCACCAGCTAATGTACTGTTGAACATTCGGGTGAATTATTATTAGTATTAATTATTGCCACGTCTTTGTGATGTTTTGAACAAAAGCGGAGATCAATCCGATCGAAAACCTTTCCAGTAATCAACTCATGGGCAATTTCAGAACCCTTTTGTAAACCCAATAGAAACCATGTTCCGATGCATCAGTTTACTGTTAGCCTGATGGTCAAAGCTATTGGCATTGCATTAGGTAGGGTTTTCAAATCTTCGCGATCGTTGTGATAGAAAAACCCGAAAAGAAAGACAAAAAAAAAAATCGAAAGTGACCTTTGAACTGGTTCTCTTAGCATTGCAATAAGTTTGACTTCCGGTTGAATCTCTCTGATTATCTCTGGAAGGGCTGGATAGTCAGGCTTATCCTTCACGCCGATGTAATGCAAGATATACCACATGGTAGATGCAGATCCATCCCCTAAATAAGGATGTGAATAAACAAAAATTGGTCAATGGTACAGCACAGGGTACACCCCCCCCCCATGAATGATAGAAATGATGGGGAGAGCAAGAATAACGCAAAAAGAAGATAATTGTACTTCCTCCAACATCCCCCACCTCCCTCCGCCTTTATCGGTGTCCTTGTTAATTCGCCCCCAGGATGCAAGTGTCACATCATAGATGGACCAATGTTACGTCATTGATCTTGTTGTCTGTATCAATTGTCAAAGCCTGGTCGAAACAATAAAGTACGCTTTTATTAATGAGACGGGGTTCTATATATCAAAAAAGTGAGCTTGGGACAGTTTGACAAAATATTACCTAAAGTGTATATATATATATATATATATATAGATAATTGGTACAGCTAGATGGAGAGAGAGAGAAAGAGAGAGAGAGAGATACCAAGAGAAAGAGGGAGGGGGAGAGGAAGAGGGAGGGATGGGGGGGGGGGGGAGAGAGAGAGAGAGAGAGAGAAAGAGAGAGAGAGAGAGAGAGAGAGAGAGAGAGGGGGAAATGGAGAGAGAGAAAAATAAAGATAAGGAAACATAAAAAGAGAAAGAGAGAGAGAGAGAAAGAAAGGGAGCGTGGGAAGAAGATAGTGAGCCACATAGAGGGATGAAGAACAGAAAGCGATAGAAGAAAAAAAATAAATACTGCACATGAAATAATGCGAACAAAAAGATCAAATATACGTAGAAAACAGAAAAGAATCGGAGATTTTAAGTATTGCAAATAGTTGATATAGGAGTGTAATAGATTAGGAAGGAAAATGTTTTAAATAATTTTGTCTCACCTCCTACGTATATCTTTGGTTTTCTCTTCGTAAAGACCGCCTCGACAACATTAGAAAAGTGATGAAGATAATCATTAAAGGAAAGTCTTCTCTTTGCACCTTTAATACCTGGAGGAAAATGGAAACATCAGCATTCCATACGTCATTCTGCATAGACAGGTTACAATACGTCTATGATAATATTGATTTCTTTATTATTACCATTCTAAACACTTTGCGTATAATGACAAAGCACAATGACGGATGTTTTAATATTGTCAGCCGATATTCTCCCCTTCAGAAGACCTGTTCTATAGAGGGAGAGGCGTATCAAAAGTGATTGGTGACAAATAGTAGTGGGTAGTTTTTCACTGGTTCAACAATACGGCTCCTTCTGAAGACAAACTGTAGAAAGGAGATAGGTTAACACTTTGCTTACGGGAACCTGGGGGTCCCTGTGAAAAGCCTATGGGACTTATAGAATTCAGTAGTCAACAGGTTAATGTCTTTGCCAACATCACCCCTCCAGCCGCCACTACCATCATCACCACTGCTACCATCACCAGCAATCCAGCATAGATATCACCACCATCACCAACAACGACACCAGAAGCATCACCACCACCCACACCACAAATATATCGCTTTCTTTTAATACGCTACCACCATTACTATCATCACCATCACCAACAACAAAACACCAACAACACCAACACTGCAAACATTTTCCTACTTTTCCTCCACGACCACAATCATCAATACCAATGCCATTACCAACATCACAGTCACCGCCACCACCACCACCGTCACCGCCACCACCACCACCATCACTACAACCACCAACACCATCGCTTCCACTACCATAAAAAATCTCTCTTACCTCGTCCTACTCTCTTTCTAGCCCACCAATGGGGCTCCTTTAGAAGATTTACAACCGAATCGTGCCGAACGATTTTGGCGTAGAGGTCAGTGGTCCCACATTTGGGCATGCCCATGACGTAGAAGTAAGGCAAACAGCGCATCCTCTGATTGGCTGAGGCATTGACGTCATTCACGAACCAGCACTGTCCCCTTGTTTGTCTGCTGAAAGTTAGTGGTGTCTTCAAGAATACCTGGTAAAAAAAAAAAAAAAAAAGTGTTACGTCATTATATCCGAATATATGGGTAACACACTGGTGACAAACAAGATTTCCAAGTGAATTCTAACCATTGGATAAAGATCCAAGATCAATATTTAGTCTAGTAACATATTTCACTTATAGTTTCCTTCTTTCGCAAACAATACCTTGTTTAAACGCTACTACATATCGTATTGCATGTATTATGGAATAGTTTTCTTCTCCTCTTACTTTTTTCATTTTTCTTTTTCTTCTTCCTCTTTTTCTTTTTCTTCTTTTTCTTCTTCCTTGTTCTTCGTCTTCTTCTCGTTCTTGTTCTTGTTCTTCTTGAGGAATGAGATGGATAGAGAACCAATAAAAGTGACAAATCATCATACCTCGGGAGCCAAGTTGAAAAGCTCCCTTGAAATGTTTCGACGGAGGATACCATTTGCTTTTAACTGAAGGAACTCGGTTTGAGAAACAGGAGGCATGTTTGTATACTTTGGCATCAATTCCATGACAACATCTTCTTTCATTGAGAACATCTTCTTATGAGATGTTTTCTGGGAAGCAAAATGCCGAATATGTTCATCTTTGATGACACCAATGTCCCTACCATCCGGTTGATTTCGGAACCCTTTAGACAGCTGGAATTGTCTGTGATGAACTTCCACCTTTCTCTTGAACGTCCGCGCTGACAGGCTTGATGCCAATGTCGATGAGTTGCCAGGGTTATGATGATGCTGCTTTGCTTCGTCTTCTGTCTGTTTCTGATCTATCCACGACTCTCTACTGACATTTATAAATTTTACAGGGCTTTTTGTTGAAAAGAAATTCGACACTAAACTTTCCGAGTGGTAGAAATCTTCGCCCTGGTTATTGTGCTGCGTTTCCCCTTTTATCTGTTGATCCGCTATCCACGACTCTCCAATGTCATCTGAATTAGCAGCGCTTTCTGCTGAACGTAAGCCCCATACTGAACTTTCCAAATCTTGTAAATCGGCTTTTCCTTCCATATCGTGTGCAGCATCAACATTTGTTTCAGCTAAATTGGTCTGTTTGTTACCATGGTTATCTAACATGAGAGAACCACTGTTTTTCTTCCCACTCGCTAGATTTTCCATCGGAGGTCTCCATATTTGGTCACCGATTAATGTTAACATTTCTGAAACATCCGATTGGGGAATTCCCGGATTACTTGATACAGCATCTTTCTTGTCGTATTTGGATTCATGTATCCCTACATGGTGATTTCGGGTGAGATGTATTGAATCTACCGGTTCCCTCGTTTGACCAGGGATTCGATTCCTAGCCTGGGTTTTCACACCACGCACACCTTGTTGCTGGGAGCGGCCGTTCTTCCAGTCAAGGAGTAGGGTGTGGTCATGAAGATGTGAAAATCGGTAGCCACTCAAGATGAGGAGAATGACAACTAAACACGATGATACCACGAGAATAAGAAACCATCTTTTTGCCTGAGAGGTTAAGAAGAAATCGGATAAAAACCAAATGTATGGATAACGAAAAATGTTAAATGGATATAAGAGACATCCGCAAAAGGTACTAATAATACTTCGACTGCTACTTCTATACTACTGCTACTTCTACTAATTATACTACTACTACTACTACTACTGCTGCTGCTACTAGTAGTGGGGGAACTACTGTAGAGGCCGCTTGGTCTTAAAAATCCACAATGATATCATATGGTAAATTCCGTTACCATGTACCAATAATTGTACTCTAATTATTAACACGATCTTAAAGACTTTCTGAAAATCAAACAAGGCAACTTCTATAGCCTTAACCCTGATAGCAGACTGACGTCTTAAAGACGTCATAAATTGGTCGTAAAGTGGTAAACACGTCGTACGTCGTATGGACGACGTAATTACGACGTCATTATGACGTCTTTATAAGACTATTTTTTCCAAGATAATTTTTGACGTATTAACGACGTCATAAAGACGTCATTTTGACGTCTTTAAAAGACTATTTTTTCCAAGCTAATTTTTGTCATATTGACGACGTGATAATGACGTCATTATGACGTCTTTAAAAGACTATTTTTTCCAAGATAATTTTTGTCGTATTAACGACGTCATAAAGACGTCATTTTCTCGTCTTTAAAAGACTTTTTTTTCCAAGCTTATTTTTGTCGTATTGACGACGTGATAACGACGTCATTATGACGTCTTTAAAAGACTATTTTTTTCAATGTAATGTTGTCGTATTGACGACGTGATAGCGACGTCATTATGACGTCTTTAAAATACTATTTTTTCCAAGCTAATTTTTGTCGTATCGACGACGTCATTATGACGTCTTTAAAAGACTAATTTTTTCAATGTAATGTCGTCGTATAGACGACGTGATAACGACGTCATTATGACGTCTTTAAAAGACTATTTTTTCCAAGCTAATTTTTGTCGTATCGACGACGTCATTATGACGTCTTTAAAAGACTATTTTTTCCAATGTAATGTTGTCGTATTGACGACGTGATAACGACGTCATTATGACGTCTTTAAAATACTATTTTTTCCAAGCTAATTTTTGTCGTATCGACGACGTCATTATGACGTCTTTAAAAGACTAATTTTTTCAATGTAATGTTGTCGTATTGACGACGTGATAACGACGTCATTATGACGTCTTTAAAAGACTATTTTTTCCAAGCTAATTTTTGTCGTATCGACGACGTCATTATGACGTCTTTAAAAGACTATTTTTTCCAATGTAATGTTGTCGTATTGACGACGTGATAACGACGTCATTATGACGTCTCTAAAATACTAATTTTTCCAAGCTAATTTTTGTCGTATCGACGACGTCATTTTGACGTCTTTAAAAGACTATTTTATTTCCAATGTAATGTTGTCGTATTGACGACGTGATAACGACGTCATCATGACGTCTTTAAATTACTATTTTTTCCAAGCTATTTGTTGTCGTATTGACGACGTCATTACGACATCATTATGACTTCTTTTAAAGACTATTTATTCCAAGATAATTGTTGTCGTATCGACGACGTCTTTAAAAGACTATTTTTTCCAATTTTTTTTTTGTCGTATTGACAATGTCATTACGACGTCATTATGACCTCTTTTAAAGACTATTTTTCCAAGATATTTTATTGTCGTAAGGACGACGTTATAACGACGTCATTGTGACGTCTCTAATAACTTTTTTTTAAAAGATAATAATTGGGTTAAGACTACAACATCTAATATGAGCATAAGTCAAAGTAAATAGGGCAATTATCAGAATTAAAAATAGGGAACAACCCCCCCCCCCGCCCCCCCCCCCCTCAAATGTCATTAGTCATTAATAGTGGACCAATTTCACACCAAGGTCTGCAATATGGATCAAGACTATACATGCTCGCATCTAGTTTGCTATTTCAAACGGGAATGTGTACGTACGTGTGTGTACAGGTACATTCAGCACTCAAGGCAATGCGTAGGACTACAATGCATTGCAATTGCATTGCACTGTGTGTATGTAATGTATTTGAATTCAGAGTGAAAAAGCCGTTGCAAGTAGTATCATCCTCCTGAATACTCTCGTTTTCTCCTGCAAATTTACAGTATGGGTAAGTCCTAGAATTACCTAATTTATTTACGAAAAGTACATAAATCTATAGTTACTGTTTTTTATTCTGAAAAGTTGATATGTAGACTCTTTGTTACTGTAATGCATGATCTTATGTCAGTGATAGTGAGCTCGGACTTTCAACATTTGCTGACTAGATTCGAAATGTATGATCCCATATATGTATTTTTATGTAGGGTTTTGATTGATGGGATGCATGGCATGGGGCATTATTTAAAGCAAAAAAGTTTACTCATTTGCCTACACATGGGCTGCATGGCTTTAAAGGGAAATCTAACTCGAATATACAACTGCTCTAAAACTGAAAGAAAGCAGAAAAATAAGAGAAGCAAACTGATGAAAGTTTTGGCACTAGGTAGGTCTACTGCTAAGTCACACCTAAGATGGATAATACATGCAGTCACTCCTTTATTCCAAGCAATACTGTAGATCTACTACTAGTTCAGAATCATATCCAGACTTTTTGACCAGTGACCCATGGCGTGGCCGGTGAGAGTCCTAAAAATCTAAAACATAGGTCTAGATCGGCCTACCCCAAATCAAGCAAATATTCATGAAATGTTCAAATAATGCCGGTCATGATTTAAAAGTCGTTATGTTTCTAACCTGTTTCTGGTCAATTTTTCTTATTTTGGGGGGAGTATTTTTCGGGAAAAACGTTGATTGTAGTATACACTTTCTGACAGGTTGCACGGCAAACCGCTGCACAATACAAGTGCATACAGATGGAGGGTTGCGGGGGCACGTAAGTCTGTGTGAAGTGATCTACCTCCTCATTGTACGGTAGATAACTTCACAGAGGCGTGCACCCGCCCGCAATCACCATCGGTATGCACTTGTAATGTGCAGCGGTTTACAGTGAAACCTGTGAGAAAGTGTACTATAGTACCGGCCCTGGCCCAGATGTTTGAAAATTGAACATTGCGTGTCGATACGTAGAGGAATAAAGCAGTGACTTGTGTCACAAACATGTAACCTTAAACAATTTGTTTCTACAGTCTTTAGACAGCAAATTTAGCTAATAGGCTACCGTATACAGAAATCTTATCTGGAAATAATCGGTTAGACCTGTAAATGGTAAACAAAATTCTTTCCCCACAGGCTGTTCAAAGAAGCTTGTAGTATTTGTGTTGCACATGCATACATTATCAACCTTTCATTTTGTTTTAACTTTATTCATTTTCTCATTTATTTGTAGGCATCTTTTTTTAACATCTTTCGTCAAAGAAGTGGATTCAAAGCAAATTGTGGCCTCAGTATATTGATGTGAAAACATGCAGAAAATGCTACTTTCTCTCAACCTTGTAGATGTTCCCTACTTCCCTAAGGATCAGCAGCCTCTTGAAACAGGTGAAGCCATTATCGGTAAATGTGTACATGTACTTGTATTATTTCTGTACATTTATTTGTCATATTGTGCATGATCACTGAGACACTGACGAATTAGACACTACATAATGGTTCATTTCATTTGAAAGGCTTATTTCAGTTATTTGTCCTAAGTTTCAAATATATTTATAATTCAATTAATTTTAGATCACTAAAACCTGCAGGTATGTTGCAATAACCGACAATATTATGTGAGTTTCAAACAGTGTTTTTTTACCCTTCAGCATAGGTCAAGGAGCTTTCATTCTACCCTCATCAGCAAACTACAGGAATGCCAGTTTTCAGGCAATAGCCTGAATTCAGGCCCTGAGGAGTTATTTTCATACCATAGTTTAGGTTTTTTGTGTACAAGCTAGCTCATTCTAGGTGATTTTTCAGGTCCTTTGATCAATTCTAACTGGCATCGCTGAAACTAGAATTGTATTGATAATTAACCAAACAAAATCCTGAATCACGTTTTGGATTGCCCACAAATGTTTAAAACCCAAAGGTGTGTTGACTTTATGTTTGTGAGCAATAAGAAATTATTTCTGATAAATCTTACCAAGCAGTACTTTTCTGACAGAATTAATTATTTACGTTCCAGTTTTAAAATATATAAAAGTTTTTCTTAAATTGTATTCCTTTCTTTTTGCTTTATTCATGCATTAGAATTCCTTGCGTCTATGTTCCTTGGATCTGAAAACAGTGCATAATGCAGGAGATTCCACCCAAAAGCTAACCCACAAGTCCAAGCTGAAGTGGAATATTTCTACACTCACCCGATAGCTTTACTGCTAGAGAAAGGTTATTTTTTCACTTCATTAAACTTTATAGAGAGAGATTGGGGGAGGGGGAGGGGTGAGGTGTAGCCACAAACCTGAATGGATAAGCTGTAGAACTGAAATTTCCAGTCATGTTACTTGCAATTTTAATGAATTACAGGATTTACGAACTGACATAATAACGATTTGAGTAAAAGTCTAAAAGATTCCAGTATTTTGAGGATATTTGTAATTACTATTCATGAAGTTGACCTGTTTCATAATGTCTCATGCTCACCCCCCTCCCCCCACCCCATTCACTTCATATCAGTTCTTAAAACATGTTGCAAATTATATATACATTGTAAGTTGGTAATAGAGAAAAATTGAGTGAGGTAAATGCAATACAAATCGAATCCATTATTAAGCAATTAAGACTTGTTCAGGTACGGCACGTGAACCTCCAACAAATTTCAAAAATGATGCAGTTTGGTTTTATGTGTAAAGTGAATGGCAACAAAGGACCTACCGGTGCGTGTCTTTGTATGTTTTGGACTGCGCAAATTCAGTGAGCTCTTTTTAATAATATACACTATGTAAAGCGTATTGAACTCTATGTCAGCATTTAAAAAACTCTGTGATTTTGACTGTTTTGCAGCATCATATCTGAGCAAGCCTTAACGGGACGTGGTAAAATTGTTCAGATGAGAGACAATTGTGCTAAGGTATTGACTTCAATGCTATATGTACACTTAAAGATAATCTGAAAGTTTGAGTGAAAAAAGACCATTATTGATGATAAAAATTGGGAACAACTGATCTGATCGATTCCTTAATTCTTCCAACTATATTATTATAATTTAATTAAATTTTAGGTGAATGTAAATCATCACAAAGAAAAGAATTGGCTCTAATACCTTAGATTTTTAAAGGCCTGTTTTATATCTTATTTTCATGGAAAAACGGTTGGGGGAAAATTCAAAAATTTATTGGGAGAATGAAGTGTTAAAGAGTGACACACAGTGGCGCCTTCAAAGAAAACCATAAATATCTTTGTGGTTTGAGAATTTTTTGGTAGTTAAAAGTATAAAATTCTTGGATTGTATCTGTGATTTTGAGAGCACTATATGGCTTACCTTTATTGAATTCGCTGTTAAAATTTAAGTTAAATTAATATTTTGTGAAACTCCCCCCAGGAGTTTCAAACGTGCCAAATGAATGTTGTGACATTAGCAATAGAATGTATCTCTTTGTGCTAAACTTGTTCAGCATGTTTGCTATTTTATCTTAAACTTGGAAATATCTTCTGAATAATTATTGCACAGTCACCTTGGAATTGCCCAACAAAGCCACTCGTACTGGCGGGAATGTTATCTGATAGAAATTGTATTTTTATACTTGAACTTCAGCTTCTGTATTTGCAACAATTTTTTTTGGATGATATTTATAAAATATGAATGTTGCCACTAATGCCTTTTCTTGTATTTAAGTCATGTGCCAGTAAGAAGCAGGTTTTTAGCACAGAAAATAGGTACAGTTGAGCTGATATCTGCACAGTTTTCTAATATGCTGTATCGCCAAATGTGAACATCGTGGTTTCAACGGGCAAGCAACCATCATCAGAAAACTCTGCAGGTATCAGTGAAGCTGTCCCTGTTCCCCTTGCTGCCAACTTGTTCCTTTTGAGTGTAAGAAATAACTTAGCTAAGCCATGTGTTTATCATTTGTGCCATTTTTCTCTTGTGTGTGATTTAGATTGTATAGTTTTATACTTTATACTGAATTCTTGCCATAAACTTAGATATTCCCCTTGTATGTAACAAGTATTGATCTTTCATGCTCAGGAATTGTTTCCAACAACCTTTTGTTTTATGTTATAGTCTTTATCTGCATTAAAGTATTGGGGTTGTGAGGAGCAGTGTTGCAGCATGGAGAAGAAATAGAGCTGCACTGATGAATGCCCAGCTTTCCACTATGCTGTTTTGCTGAATATGAGGAACTTCCCAGTCTGATGTTTTCTTGTCTACTAAACAACTGCGGGTATCAGTGTAGCTTTACCTAGTCTCTATGCTGCTAACCTGCTTCTCACAACCGCAAGACTTATAAGTTAAGCCAATATATATCATATTTTCTTGTATCTGAATTAAATTTGAAATGAAATAGCACAATTTATAACGAAACAAATATCTTTGTGATGGCCTGTTAACTTTCTTAAAATCAATTATGAGACTGACAGAAATACACTAGGTATTTATACAGCATGTTTTGGAAGAAGTTTCAGGATGGTGATGGAAAGATTTTGTATTTATAGAAGACAAGTTAGATAGAAGAAGGTATAAACATAAGTATTCTATATTTTTATTATCCATTTTCATACCATATAAATGAACATTAAAAATATGAAAATTACTTTCTGTCTGGCATGTGTATATATTATGTGATGCAATATCTGTTGCTCTATTTTTACTGTGTGAATGTTCAGAATGTATTCATGAAGTGACTTTTACACTTTCTTCCTTCATCAGGTGGTCATATAGATGTCATTTAGAGGACACAAAAGACGTAAAGATCATGTAAGGATAAAAGGTACATCGAAATGACCAGTAAGATGTAAATATCACGTCAAAATTTGATGTCCATACAACGTATTCACGACGTCTGTAGGACGTCTTTCTTGGGTAAAAGTTGACGTCTTAAAGACGTCTTTCTTGGACCAATAAGACCAGAAAAAAATATGACGTCCATACGACGTCTTCCATGGTACAAGTTGACGTCTTAAAGATGTCTTTCTTTGACTAATAAGACGTTAAAATCACGACAAAATATGACGTCCATACGATGTCTTTCTGTAGTACAAGGTGACGTCTTAAAGACGTCTTTCTTTGACCAAAAGATGTAAATATGACGTCCATACGACGTCTTTCTATGGCACAAGTTGACGTCTTAAAGACGTCTTTCTTTAACTTATAAGACGTAAAAATCACGTCAAAATATGACGTCCTCATGACGACGTGCGCGGGTGCAAAATCATGTCTTTTTGACGTCGTGTAATGTCGTCTTAAAGACGTCTTTCTTTAACTAAAAGACGTAAATATGACGTTCATATGACGTCTTCCTATGGTACAAGTTGACGTCATAAAGACGTCTTTCTTTGACTAGTAAGACGTAAATATGACGTCCATACGACGTCTTCCTAAGGTACAAGTTGACGTCTTAAAGACGTCTTTCTTTGACTAATAAGACGTAAAAATCACGTCAAAATATGACGTCCTCATGACGACGTGCGCGGGTGCAAAATCATGTCTTTTTGACGTCGTGTTATGTCGTCTTAAAGACGTCTTTCTTTAACTAAAAGACGTAAATATGACGTTCATATGACGTCTTCCTATGGTACAAGTTGACGTCTTAAAGACGTCTTTCTTTGACTAGTAAGACGTAAATATGACGTCCATACGACGTCTTCCTAAGGTACAAGTTGACGTCTTAAAGACGTCTTTCTTTGACTAATAAGACGTAAAAATCACGTCAAAATATGACGTCCTCATGACGACGTGCGCGGGTGCAAAATCATGTCTTTTTGACGTCGTGTTATGTCGTCTTAAAGACGTAGTACAAGACGTAAATATGACGTGATATTTACCAGTCTCTGCTATCAGGAATTGTGCATTATCTTTTTTAATATGCGAACATGACAATATCGTGTTATGTATTATCCAAACATATATGATTCCTTTACGGGATATACAATAGGTTAGTGCCCTGTAGTTGCATTGAGATATCTCGAACGGTCTTTGCGTTTATAACGAAATAGCATAATAGGGTCATCATGCCCTTCACTTAATCCACCAGTTTACGGTTACAACAGTGCGCATGCGCAGACATGGGCGCGATTTTAATTTACGAGTAAACAAACCAAATGACCTCTAGAGGTCAGTGGTTTATGCGTAAATTAAGATTGCGCCCATTATGATAACATCACTGCCTGCGCGCAATAATTTGCATGGGCGCAATCTTAATTTACGCATTAACCACTGACCTCTAGAGGCCATTTGGTTCGTTTACTCGTAAATTAAAATGGCGCCCAGAACCGTAAACTGGTGTATTCATTACATAATCTTTATGACTCAAACCAAAGTAAAAGTAAAAGATTAAAAGTATCTAATTAACAATTAACATGTATGGTTAAAAATAATTTCATGCAAAAACATAAAAGAAAAACTTACTTTTTTTATATTCATCCTGCAAGACAATGATCAGCTCTCCACAAAGGTGTGTAAATGACAATTCACGATGCCCGACAAATATACATGTATTGGCGATATCTGAAAGGGTAACATTCAATAAAGCATCGATAAGTTTTCAAGTGAAAGGTAGTACAAATAGAAGACTTGTTAATTTTCTACATATTGAGAGGCAATATCTGAATGTAATTTCCTTTTGTAGGTTACAAGATGCTTTGCATTCCTATGCAGATGAAGGTTAAGGCACATGTGTACGCATGTACATTACATGGACGTACAGAGTGAATGGATTAGCCATTGACCGTTTTCGCTTCGAGCTACATGGCCGCTTTAGTTTTTTTAGTTTTTATATAATGATATATCTTGTTTGGTTCTACCTGGAATAAAATGGAAATGATCAAATATAAAGATATGGTGGTGTTCTTTGTTGTGTCGGTTTGGTAAGCCTTTTCGTTCATTTGCCCTTTTTATATTTTTAGGAGATACACTTTTTTCTGTTAAAGATTACATCTTATTTGTCGATAGGAAGACGTGTTACTTCTTCCTAATAAAGGATAATTGTTTTCCATCTTGAAATCGTTTCATGATGTCTTACTGATCTACTTTCTGCCTGTATCGCGCGCGGTCTTGTGCTCGTAGCTGAAGTTCGGTGCTCCCCAAGGTAATTATAATGTGTCATTATATATATATATATATATAATATGTTTGTATAGTATAGTAAAGGTCGTAAGATCAATAGGAAAAGATTTATTTCCGTTTGAGTTTGCGAATTTAGGAAATGATGGGGTTGCGTGCATTGTTGTACATGAATCGATCTTTCTGAGTTTAAAGGTTTTTAAAAGTTTTAAAGATATTTATACTTATTTATTATGTATGCTGTACAATTATGTTAACATGTTTTAAAATATATTTACAGTGAAAATAATAAAATAATGTACTAGCAGTGAGTAGACGGACGGCTATAGGGTTCGTACACGAATTTGTAATTGACTTTTTCGATAAAAACTGACTTACAACACATCACATTATCAGCCCCTGACCCCCTGCCGGGGCTCAGACCCTGGACCCCACGCCAATTTACGCTCTTCATGATCGTTAATACTCTACTTTGAAAAACGTTCCGCGGGGCCTCCATGTTACGTGTAGGAGTGGTGGTGATGCAGATTTTTCTTCTGCCCCTCCCCCCGGCCACTTTTAAACGTTTTTGCTCATTACGTCAATGCCCCTGGAAGGTGAGCCCCCTGGAATGTTTGCCCCCCCCCCCTAATCCCAAACTGCTTCCAGCGTACCTGAAGAGGCTCGTAAAATCAATGCACGATCAATAAGAAACAGCTTACTATTGCTTAAAAGAGGTAATTCAAATACAAAAGACACTATACCTATACAAAATCAATACCCTTGACACATGGGTTACGTTACGCCTCCTCGTGTTGCCATGCGAGGATCACAGTATGGATAAATACACGTTCCTTTATTTAGTTGATCGAACAATAGATATTGATCTAAAGTATAGAAAGAAAGTCAAAGAGTAAAACTTCCGTAGACACGCGTGTTAAAAGTCAGTTCCAAAAAGAAAATACCCATCCAATATTCAAAACGTAAACAATTCCTAAAGATTTTAAAGTAAAATTCAAAAAGTCAAAACCCCTAGACACGCGTGTTGATCATTCCGTTTTTTACAAAAATGGACTATGTCAAGACTTTTGTACACGAGTCAATAAGAAATAGTATAAGAACGAACAAAAAATCTTGCACAAATCCTATGGCAATCCCCATACTCACTGCTATAACTGCTCTTAGGTTTTATTTCTCTGGTTAAAAATGTTTTGTATATTTTATCTCCGTGTTCTTGTAACATAACTTAATTGTAATTGTTATCTTTGTATTCAAATCTGTTTTGCATGAAGTTGTCCACGTTGAAACGGAACAAATAAAGTAAAATTTCTGTACAACATCATGGTGTTGTTTTCATTGATGTGTGTATTCTGCGTCAGAATAATCAAAAAGACATACAAAGTAAGTCTAGAATGATGTTTTGAGAGAGTTCAAACACAGCCTTGCATATATCAAAGTATTTTGGGAAAGTGCAAAGAAGTCGACGATACAAGTCTTGTGAGAGGGTTATAAAGTTAAATGCACGATCAATAAGAAACAACAGTACTATGGCTGAAAAGAGGTAATTCAAATGCAGAAGACACTAGACGTCTAGACTTGTTCAAAAATCAACACCTTTACAAAATAGACTGTACAATACGCTTCCTCGTGTTGCCATGCGAGGATCACAGTTCCTCTATAATGGTGGAATAATTATTTTTACCTTCATTTTATGGAATGATTTTAAAACTGATTTATTCCTAATAGATCTAGATAATAGTATACATTATCAGACTTTATTGAATAATAATTTGCGAGTGTTTTCTTCTTTTTTTTTGGGGGGGGGGGGCGACTGCTAAAGCATGTGTGTGCTACTATGCTAATCAACTAAGGGACCTACGTTTATCAGTCATAACTGACAGTAATGAGGATTAATGCCACTAATTAAGGGCACTAATATAGCTGATCGACACGGTTTTGATCCTGGGGCCGCCCCCAGAAATACAAAAAACAAAGAAAATGCAATAAATTATAAATAATTCATTGCATTTCGCCCCGGTCCCCAACAGGAAAATATCCTCTGTAGGGCCATGCATTAAATTGTGGTAAAAATAATTATTCCACCTTTATGACTAACAGTGTAGTTGATCGAATAATATATTGATCCGACCTCCAACGGCGTTGTTAACATTCATCAGAAAGTCTAACACAAAATATAGAAAGAAAGTCAAAGAGTCAAAATTCCATAGACGCATGTGTTATTAGTCCTTCAAGGAAATACTTATCTAATATTCAAAACGTCAACAATTCCCATAAAAACACAGAGTACACTTCAAAACGTCAAAGTTCCCATAGAATCACGCGTTGTAATTCACTTTTTGCTCGAAAAAACTAAGTCTGCAGGATATTGAATAATCTCTAAGTAAAATTCCCATGAAAACACACGAGTTAAGTTAAAAACGACAACATTCCCATCAAAACACGTGTTGTAAGGCACCTTTTGCTCGAAAAAAAAAAGTCCAGCAAGAAAAATCTATAAGTAAAACTCAAAAAGTCAAAATCCCCTGGACACACGTGTTATAAGTCTGTTTTTTCTCGAAAATAAATGTCAAAAATGTGTACACGAGAGATTACTGAAATGTTCGTGTACAAAACCTATGGGCGCCTCCCCCCCCCCCCCCCCCAATCGCTGCGGGGTACTACTACTACGGGCACTTTTATAAATTGGGGGAAATGCAAATTAATAACACCACGTCAACAGTTATTAGGCTACGCAGGGAGGTGGGCTACGTGAACGAGTCACTTATCACACGGCATGTTCGGCCATCTCCCCCTCCTTCCCTTGAATGTTTGATCGACGTATTATGCAACAAACAAAGAGCCAGAATCAACTTTTCCCTTTGAAAAGATGCTGAAGAGGAAGGTAAACAGAATATTTGTGAACCCGTCCATTGTTAATTATATCCAGTATAGTAAACGCATGGGTGTAGGCGCACAGTGGAAACACGTTACGAGGAAAATGATGATGATGATGATGCAAATCGCTAATATATACTCTCAATGAAAACATTAAAGTGGACAATATGAATATAAACTTATCTTTCAATTGTATGCACATACAGGAAGAACACTAAGAACAAGAAGAACAAGAAGAACAAGAAGAACAAGAAGAACACTAAGAACAAGAAGAACAAGAAGAACAAGAAGAACACTAAGAACAAGAAGAACACTAAGAACAAGAAGAACACTAAGAACAAGAAGAACACTAAGAACAAAAAGAACAAGAAGAACAAGAAGAACAAGAAGAACACTAAGAACAAGAAGAACACTAAGAACAAGAAGAACAAGAAGAACAAGAAGAACAAAAAGAACAAGAAGAACAAGAAGAACACTAAGAACAAGAAGAACAAGAAGAACAAGAAGAACAAAAAGAACAAGAAGAACAAGAATAACACTAAGAACAAGAAGAACAAGAAGAACAAGAAGAACAAGAAGAACAAGAAGAACAAGAAGAGCAAGTAAGTACAAGCAAGAGACACGAAGAAGAACATGTCAATAATATCAGGAAAGAGAAGAAGAAGAAGAAGTAGAAGAAGAAGAAGAAGAAGAAGAAGAAGAAGAAGACAAAAAAAAAAAAAAAGAAGAAGATGATGATGGAGAAGATGATAATGGAGAAGTTGATGACGAAGAATTAAGAGGGAAGAAGAAAAAGAAGAAGGAGAGTATAGTTTATCTGGGTACGTACCTGCAATATTCCGCAATCAATTGGAGCCTTCTTCAGGGTATGCCTATCCCACTTCCTGTGCTGACTTCTAGTTGCTGTACACATGTTATGATCTGTGCGTGCGATACGAGCGGATCGGACGTGCACACAATACACCCACACATTATTACACGCGCGCTAGTGGTGCGTTCAATCATGGACCTACGGTTTAATCGAGACTTGTTCACCCTATATAGTATAGAGTCACGGTTTTCAAAGACGTTTAGTATAATAAAACACGGTTGCGTTCAAGCGACTTTCGTCGGCCGTGTTTAAAAACGTGTTATAAAAACACAAACATGAAACGCTGAAAAAGATGTGTTTCGGTCCGTAATTCTGCAGAATCACGGTCGCTAAAATTCGATTGAACGAACGGAGATCTCAATCATGATTTTATGACGTCATTATCGTGTCCTGTTCCGTCATATGTTATTCCTTGTTTTCCTTTTATCATTTTCTATTTCTGTTTTTATTATGTTATTCTTCATTTTTCCATCTTTCATCTTCTCTTCTATCTTTCTATCATCTATTCTTTATCGTTTTCTCTTTCTCTCTTTCCTTATATTATTCCTTGTTTCTTCCTTCTATTCTTATGTTATTCTTTGTTTTTATAATTCTTCTTTTTTTCCTTCTATCACCATTTCTTATGTAATTTTTTTCATCGTTCTATCATTTTTTCCTACCATTCCTTATGTTATTTTTTGTTTTTTCATCTTTCATCTTCTCTTCTCTTCTATCTTTCCATTATCTATTATTTAAAAAAATTTCTTTCTGTCTTTCCTTATGTTATTCTTCGTTTCTTCCTTCTTTTACCTTCTTTTATGTTATTCTTTGCTTTTTCCTTCTATCACCTTCTCTTATGTTATTCTTTGTTTTAATCATTATATCACTTTCTCTTTCTGTCTTTCCTTTTGTTATTCTTTGTTTCTTCCTCATTTCTATCACCTTCTCCTATGTTATTCTTTGTTTTAATAATTATATTCCTTTCTCTTATGTTATTCTTTGTTTTAATGATTCTATCACTTTCTCTTTCTGTCTTTCCTTATGTTAGTCCTTGTTTCTTCCTTCTATAACCTCTCTTATGCTATTCTTTGATTTAATTATTATATCACTTTCTCTTTTTGTTTTTCCTTATGTTATTCTTTGTTTCTTCTTTCTATCACCTTCTCTTATGTTATTCTTTGTTTCTTCTTTCTGTCACCTTCTCTTGTGTTTTTCTTCGTTTCTTCCTTCTATCACTTTCTCTGATGTTCGACAAGACAAACTTGACAGGGCGAGGCGCGTCGCGTGGGGGAAATGTGAATGACGTCATCTGCCTCGCAGCGACTATATCATGAATTATTATATAAATAGGATTTTATTGAAATCAAGACACATCAAAAACCAAGAACAAACAGTCCGAAGACTGACACCTGTCTCGGGTACAAAATATAATTTAAATCAAATATACATAATAAAATAAGTTACATAAGTTAAAATATTGAATAACTAAACTATCATCCCTAAATATTGCAAAAATGACATATAAACAATAACAACAATTAAAGTATATATCATGACAATTACAGGGACTCTCGAGCTGTGCAATAACTAAATCAGGCACAGACCGAGAGTCCAAAAGAAAACAATTAAAACATACATAAGAGGGGCATTAGGGGTTTAAATAAAAGAGAGGGGAACACGTCAGCTCAACAAAATTAAAGGTAAAGACCAGTTATGGTCATCGATTGCATTGTGAAAGAAACGTTGTGGAATCGATCAGAAAAGGTTGATCATCTAGCATCAAGCATCTGCAAGGTTCTGGAATCATCAAAATGATAAGAAATTTGGCCCATTCTTCGTAAAGTTACAAGCACTATACACAGAAAGATGTATATGGGACTACCCTATATCTCTCACAGACCATGAGAGAAACAAATTTACCAAATATATGAATTAGTAGGCGGTTTCCCGGCAAATTTGTTATCATTATGTATTAGTCAAAACATATTCTTTCACATGATTGGTAATGAGAGCTTCCATTTCATTTTTTGAAATTGGGGCGTTTCCAATACTGGTCTTTACCTTTAAAGTATTGCGATGGTACATGTAACATACAATGTCTCTTCCAAACGAAAGAAACATGGCATCTGCGAATATGTCGTTCAGAACTAGAATCAGCATAATTCCCTTGCGCTCTATGGTAGATGTGAAATACGCTACGGTGTCTTCTAAATTAAAAGGAAAACAAATAAGCTATCTCCTGGTTTGTCAACAAACCATCCTCCCCCACCACTAAAATGGTAGTAAACATGGGGAAAAATCCTAATAAATGTAAAAGAAGACTATTTACAAATTACATACAGGTATCAAAAATATTTGTTGTACCAAGACAACTATTCAAACCCCAATGCTCCGGATTATATACCTTTTTAGCTTTGATATAATATTTTTCAGTTTAACCAACAATTGAAATAATTTCCAGTATAAATCCCTGAAAATAATTGTTACAACGAATGTACATGTAATATCACTTACGATGTACTTAATCTAATCCTCCTCGTAACCTTCTGCTGGGTATATTACTGCAATCTTCTGAACAGTGGACTTCGATACTTTGCCCCTTTAGACTTTACCTTAACTGTCCTAGCCTTTCCAACAGTCCCAGGATACACTCCATACAATCCTACCTAAGGTCCATTTCCCCTACATGTAAATGCATTATGATCAGATGGCATTACAACATCATACATTACGCCTATCAGAGTTCCATTTAAGTTGATATGCCATCATATCCAGTGCTCTGTTTACTCTTTAAATTGCTAACAATATCAATAACCTCTACCTCTTGTACCGGGACAAAAAAAGAGAAACAGGATTTCGACGATCTAGAAATGAATAAAATGATTGATTTGAGGTGGGGATGGCATGTGCAAGATTAGGTCCTATATTTACAAAGTAATTTTGAAAACTCTCAGCAATAGAAGCAGGGTTTCCGACTAAAATCTCTTTAATATCCTGTTTATTACTGTTTCTATTAAGTGCATTGTTAATTAGCTTCCAAGTATTTTTAATGTCATTTCTATGAAATTGTAATTTTTTAGAGAAGTAATCTTTTTTTGCATAACGTAAAATGCTAACTAGGGTATTTTTATAAGTCTTGTTTTTGTTTTTGTTTGACTCTGTCGGCTTGGACTTGAATTTGTAAAATAAGCGATTTTTTCCTATTAATTGAACGTAAAAAGGATGTTGTTATCCATGGAGATCGTGGAGTCTTTCTATAATTTGAGTTCCTACTTGTATTTTGAACAGGTAAGTCTCTTTCATAATATCGATTGAAGATTTCAAGAAAAAGTTCAAATGCTTCATTTACATCGCGAGAAGTTAAACCTCAACCCTGTCAAGTGAATTTTAATAAGCTTTGTTTAAATTTATCAATATTTTCACCAGTTAACTTACGACAACCTGGACTAGGACCATTCTGTGTTGTAGATAATTGAAAGATAGGTGAGTATAAATTGGGAAAATCACTTATATCTGAGATTATGATACCAGAAATAGATTGAACATATATATTTGTAAATATATTATCTATAAGCGATGCTGTTGTCTTTGTTATTCGAGTAGGCTTATTCATGAGAGGCATAAAGGATTGCGAGGACAAAGTGTCCAAAAATTCATTGCAGAATAAATTCTGATTTCATCCAAAATATTTATATTAAAGTCTCCCATAATAAAAGAAGACCTGTCTTGTAAATAATTTGATGATATTATTGTCTGTAAAGAAGTAATGAAATCGTCGTGACATAAATTTGGTGGTCGATAAACAACTGCTACCACTATATTTATCCCGTTTGGAACACTCATTTCTACGCATACCGTTTCAACTGCATCTGTCATGTAACTTAATTCGGATATTACTTTGTAGTTCAATGAAGTGGAAACCTACAATGCCACTCCGCCACCGCGTCTATTAAAGGGGCTTTCACACCGGGCCTTGCGTAGAGTTGCGTAGAGTTGCGTAGCGACTACGCCGATCGTACGCAACCCTACGCAACTGTACGCGGAGGGACGAAAATGGGTACGCGAGATGAACGCAAAAAATTAAACATGTTTATATTTTTTCGCGTACCTTCGGCGTAGACTTTCTACGCAGAAACTACGCAACTGTACGCCAAGCCTACGCAACTGTACGCCAAGCCTACGCAACTGTACGCCAAGCATACGCAACTGTACGCTAAGCCTACGCAACAATACGCTACCCTACGCCAGTCCGACGAAGCATTAAAAACGTATAAAGATTTTTTGTTGTATATACCTGGATGTAAACTTGGCAGGTATTGATCATTATTTTGAAGGGAAATGCTATTTTTGTTTAAATGTGTGCGTTCTCACATTTATTCTGTTCATGAAGAAAAAGTGTTTCTTTGACTTTATGTTGTATTCTTGCTTGTAATTATGTTTGTACTACTACAAGGATTTTCAGACTGACATGTTTTGCTTGTTATGGTTTATTCAATTTGTGATGTTGACATCTCAGGCTGTTGATATAATAAACAGAGATAAGACTCACAAACTGATGCCTCATGCGAAATGTTATTATGTTTTGTGGAAATCTGTATGTATTTGTGTCGGTTTGTTTGCTTGTGTGTACGTTTATGGCCCTGTTTGTATGTTTGTAAAATAATTTTGTTTAATTGAAATGAGCAAAGAAATAATTTTGTCTCACTCTGTTAGTGAGACTGAGTGAGTGTGTATGTCAGAAGTAATAAATGACTAACACTTATATCATTACATTGTCACATACATATACGCTACGGACAAAGGACAACAGCTATCGTCTTCAAACTTTCAGGAAACTGTTATGGAATGATATTTACAAATGAGTGAAAAAAAGGGATATGGTCAACAAATATCAGACTTCTGTCCACATTTATTCACAAATCAAAATAAGCGCTCTTTTGTTGGCGTTTTGAGGTATCGAATCACATCACGTGACCTTGCAATGTACATCAACAGAAAGTTCATTTATTACCCTTGTGAATGAGTATAATAATGTAGTACATCCACAAAAATGCCTGCATTTTTTGGAAAATAGTATCTTGAACAATGTAACATTACTGCAAATTAGCCTCAGCAGTTGTTAATACCTACTAAAAAAATTGAAAAAATAACGGTCAAAACCGTGTACCAAATGCCACTTTTGGCAACCCTACGCCAGGCCTACGCAACCCTACGCCAGGCCTACGCAAGCGTACGTAACCCTACGCCAATTGCCTACGCCGTAGGTACGCGGTGCCTACGCAAAGGGTACGTAACTATACGCAAGCCTACGCAAAACCTACGCAGGGACTACGCCGAAGCATCAATTTATTCATGAGTACGCAGCTTAACTTCGGCGTAGTCGGTACGCAACACTACGCAACTCTACGCAGATCCGGTGTGAAAGGGGCTTTAGTTTATTATTAACGGCCATGTTGTACCCATCAATAGAAAAACATGAATGAGGTTTATTACGTAACCATGTTTCGGACAAACCAAGAATTGAACATGGAAACTGTTGACTGGATATAACGGATTTCATATGTTCAATATTTTTACTCAAGCTTCTAATATTGAAGTGCACCAGTGAGAAATTATTTTCAAACTCTGAAGAATTTGAAATAATTGATTCACAGTAAAATATCGGGAAGATGAGGGTGCGGGAACAGGGTCATTTTGGTCAGCACAATATTTGTACTCCGGGGTCAAGTCCATAAATGTTCTGCCATAGTCAGCTTCATCGAAATTTAGAGAATCAGCATCAAGCGAATCACTTTCGTCTGAATTATCTAGTGTACAATGAGAATCATATGATGAGAATAGTAAGTCATCGTCTTCTAACATATAAAATGGGAATATGTTCATATCATTCATACTATCTTATTTATACTATGTTTTAAGGCGAACATTAAATGGATTATCAGTTTCGGAAAGGTACTCAGATGAGTGACTCTCGGGGAAGAGAAGCTAGGGAGAGGGAGAGAAAGTGTGTCCTCTTTGAAACGTATAGAGAGAAGAAAATGAGAGCAAAGAAAAGCTAAATGAAACAAAACAAAAATGCATGATGAAATAAATAAAGGTATCTTTAAACAATCATTAATTCAATGAAAACAGTTTGAAGATACAATCTTAATCATTTCAAATTTCTGGTATTTTCCCTCCGCACACAATTAGTAATAAACCAATAATTCCAATTCAATGTGATAATATCAACAACAAAATATTGGTGGGGGTAAACCGAGCAGATTTTAAAGCTTATCTGCCGTAGTTTACAGGAGGGATTAGACTGCCCTGCAAGGTCACTGGACAGGTGGTTATCTCATCAACTTAGCTCTCAGTTAACATAAGAAAAAGAGGATCATGGGGGACCAATGGTCACCGATTAGGCATTGTTTGTTATATAGAGGGCGCAAGTAGCTACAAGTAGTGCAGTGAGCCTTTAAAGAACATGAAAAGAGGGAAGAAAACAATTCTTAGGTAACTTGCTAATCTGGCAAATGTATAGAAGAGATATGGCAACAAAATAATAATTATGCAAGTACATCTACAGTATATGACCTCCTCTATTGTTGGTCGATTAGACTCTGAAAAAACAGGGGAGATAATACAATCTCTGTCATAAACAAAACGTTGATTTCTTTGGCAACTTGCTAACCAAGCAAATGTATGAAAGAGACATGACAAATAAGTGTTAGTCCATGTACAGTTGTATATCATAATTTACATGACCTCTTCTATTGGTCGTCAATTACACTCTGAAAACAACAGGGGAAATAATACAATCTCTGTCATAAACTAAAAGTTGATTTCTTTTGCAACTTGCAAACCTGGCAAATGTATGGAAGAGACGTGGTAAATAATTATGTGCAAGCACTGAATCCAATGACCGGGGTAATAGTATATTTGTAAAGCGCTTAGAGACATTTGTATTAAGCGCTATATAAATTAAATATTATTATTATTATTATTACATGTACAGTAGAATAACGTAATTTACAAGACCTCTTATATTGGTCGTCGATTACAAGCACTGTACACAGAAAGATGTATATGGGACTACGCGACACGTGTGCGATATCTATCCGGTCAGGATAGATAATATAATTTACGAAATATATCATCACGTATTTATAGTCAAAACATATTCTTTCACATGATTGGTAATAAGAGCTTCCACTTCATTTTTGAGAGGGGGCGTTTCCAAAACTGGTCTATACTTTTAACATATAGTTTTATATCATTATTCCTAACGAATGTGTTAGTGACATTGTTGGTCCCCCGTATTGTTATATAATGATATATTTTGAACTTCCATGCGATGTTTGAAAATATTGGTATATTGTCCATCTCCCATATATAAGCGGTCACAAATCTTTGGCGCGTTCTTGTTCTTGGCAAACGTCTCTGCCCTCCGGTCAGTCTTTAGAACTCGGGTTTTATTGAGACACGTATCAAAGGTATCTGAGAGCATATTCTTTAAATTGGCCAAGTCTTGGGAAAATGAAGGTCCGTATTCAAGAACTTTTCGCCAAAATGTTTCGTTAAAATGGTTGTAGAGCATTAAGTCTGCTTTGTTCCATTCGCGTATCTTATCTGCCAAGCTGTCGTTGTTCTTATTCCGATAGTCTGCGGAGCGAACCCCATGCTTCAGATAAACTACATCTTCCATGCGCCAGCAGAGTAGCTTTCGAAGCAAGAGAAGGGATTCGTCGAAGTACTCCGTGATCATCACCAGATCGACAACGGACTCGAGCTCGCGAATTTTATTCATGACTTTCTCTTCGTCGTCCGTGTCATTGTGCTCCAAACCGAAGTCATAGAGTTGCTCGTTGTGCATGCTAACTTTGAAGTATTGACTCTTCGACATGACATGCGCGAAGTACTTTTTCGGCTGAGAAAGAAAAAGATCCATAGGCGCTTCCGACTGGGGCATCGATTTCCAGACCTCAAAGTAGTTAAAGGCCGACTGCCATTGCGCTGCTGGCTCGCGAAGAATCGTCACGTACCTGTAGAATAATGATGATGATCATAAATATAATAATGATATCAGTTATGATAATAATAATGATAACATCATTAAAGTAATTACTGTCATACTTTGAACTGTTTTCGAAATATATAGTGTATGCACACGATCACAAGGACTTTTCAAAAAACAAAGTTAAAGTGCCACTCTAACCAAAACGGGCTAAAAAATGAAGAAAAAAAAGACATGTAGAATAGTCTTTGACGTAGATTCCGAACATGACTATGATTTTCTTTTAGAAATCATCAATAATTCTGGAATCTAGCTTTAAAAATGACAACTCAGAACGCTCAGAAAATATCCCAGTTTCGGAGCTGTATTGCGCAATAGCATATGACGTCACTGCAGGAGACAACACTGGCATTATACTCAACATAACATAGCACTTGAATGAAGATACCTTACTATAAGTTCTATAAAATAACAAAAATCAACTAAGTCTTCAACAATTGTTCAAATAATGATCATGATTTAGAGGTCGTTATCTTTTATACCTGTTTCGTGTCAATTTTCTTATATTTTTTGGAGTATTTTTCCTAAAAACGAAGACAAAATACATTTCTCACAGGTTTCAAGGCAAACCGCTGCATAATACAAGTGCATAACATAGATGCGGTGCGGGTAACGCGCGTGCGTGAAGTAAGCGACTGTTATCTTAGATCCTCATTAAATTCATGAAAGTAATTCACATTATGAATTGATGATGATCATTAACGGTCGCTTACTTCACGCACGCGCGCGCACCCGCACCCTATCGCCGGTACCAAATTAAAGAAATTTAAATATAATTACTAGACGGAAAGCAGCACGCACGGAAACCATTACACGAATGGGATTAGGCTCCGCCTTTTTTGGATCATTTGAAGACGAAATAAGTACCCTAGGCGGCATTCTGATTGGATGTGAGCGTCATGAATATGTATTTTATCGATAAATAGATTTTTGTTTAGACCTTCATTTTTGTTTATGTGTGTATTTTGGAGCAACTCCCCCCCCCCCCTCTTATTTTTGTTTTTGATTTAAATTTAAATTTAAAGACGAAGCAAAATGTCAATTTTTCAAATTTCGAGACCAAATTTAAAAAAAAAAAAAGTCCTCTTACACAGGGGGTGTCTAAGGGGGGATTCGCCCCCCCCCCCCCCTCAGAAGTTGAAGATTTTTTTGAAATTAATGGATAAATTGCTCGATTTGGTGCATTCTTTTTGCCAAATAAAAAAGAAAACAGTCTTAAGTTCAACTAACAGGAAGAAGAACGCAGGGGGGTGTCTGAGGGGGATATGCCCCCTCTGAAGTTGAAGATTTTTTGTTTTAAATTGATGGATAAATGCCTCGATTTGGTGCATAATTTTTGCCAAATTAAAAAGAAAACAGTCTTAAGTTCAATTAACAGGAAAAGAGCGCAGGGGGTTTCTGAGGGGGGTTTGCCCCCCTCAGAAGTTGAAGTTTTTTTTTGTTGAAATTGATGCATAAATGGCTTGATTTGGTGCACACTCTTTGCTAAATTAAAATTCTTAAGTTCAACTAAGAACATGAACGCAGGGGGGGGGGGGGGAGGGGGCTGTCACCATATTTTTCAGAATGGTTGTTATAGATGAATTTGTCGTTTCCATTGAACAATCAGCCATAAGGTTTAGGAGATACAAGGGATTAATTTGATTTTCTTCAGTTGGTGAAAGGTTTTTCATCGTAAACCAATGTTTATTTTACTCAAATTCATACTTCTTTAGCAAGTGCCTAGCCATAAACTATACATGACAGTATTAAGGACATACAATTTATTTTAATGCCTTATGATTATCCCACTTCTCAGTTCATTATGAAAGATACATACTGTAAAATGTTTTAATGCACACGACTTGTATAAATGGAAATATTTATCTAATAGAGGCATACATACGTGTGAAATATACCTCTCGATTTTCGTGTTGATATTTTGTATTTTTCGTTTTGTAAATTGAATAATATCAGTCCTTGCACTTACATGTCCAGTGCATATTTTGTGACAATAAACCAATTTAAATTTTCAAAAAATGCACTTGATAACCCCAGAACGTTTGTGGCCATTTCGTTATTCCTAATTATGAATTACAATGAGATTGTAAGATCCTCAGTTATATGAAAAATACAAGGACATTCCCGCAATGACGTCTAATGCGTCAACAAGTCACGTGACCGTATTTACCTTTTTTCGAGGGGTGTAGCCCAGGAAGCGTGAGATCTGTGAAAAATTGATGGTTATTATCACAATTTGGTCAATATAGAGATTTTCTGAACAATTGGAGGCTGGAATATTAATAAGCAGAGGTGTATTCATGTTTTGAAAGGCTATGTTTAGTTGGGTTAGAGTGGCCCTTAATTTAAGGCAATTCCACTAGCATTTCGCGTTACAAGTTGTAATGCTGAAAAATGACGACGACATTACATAAGCTGTGACAATCCCAACATGAGAAGTTGTGGTCTATTGAATAAGTCTCCTGACTGTATACCACGGAGTTGGAACTTTGCCGCAGCACTAACGTCCTCACTCAAGACAATAGGGACTTTTAGATTTACACGACGAGAGCGTACGTGGACTGCTGCGTGTGACTTAAGGCACTGGGCCATGCCCGGCAGCGCATATTTTTTTTTACACAACTGTTCAGTCACTTCAGTCAAATAAACTGTGCAAACGACTAGAGACAGAGTCTAGCATTACCCTTAGCAGTTTTGTTGGATTGCTGGAGCTACATGTGTACATACTCGTTATTCGTTTCGGGTTAAATCTGTCCTCTCTTCTCTTTCATTATTATGTATTTCTGTGTTCTCCTTCAATCTATCCTCTTCTCTTTTGTTTTATGTATTTCTTTGTTTCTCCTTCAATCTATCCTTTTCTCCTTCGTCATCTATTTCTTTGTTTTAATCCGTGATAGATTCCTTTTCTCCTTATGTTTCCCAGTTTTTCCTTAGTCTAGATCTATGATCCTCTTAGCTCTTCAATTATGTATTTCTATGTTCTTCCTTTGACTTAACCTCTTCTCTTTTCTTAGTTCCCTGTTTTTCCTTCTCCATCCTCTCAACTATCCTTGTTTTCCCCTTTCTATCATCTATTCCCTTCGCTGGGTGTACGTGCTTGCACATGTACGCTGACGACTTAGACTCTTTTACCAGAGCACTTCTTGGAATTTTTTCGCGAAAATGGCTAAACAGTTGTGTAAAAAAAATATGCGCTGCCCGGCAGTGCCTTAAAAGGACGTCACATTACCTTACAAGGATGTCACAGGTGATGGTCCACGTTCTTGTCGTGTAAATCTAAAAGTCCCTAATATACATTTTGCCAAACGCGATCCAAGTATAGATAGTTGGTACTTGGTAGGATGTATTCCCTGCATACTCAGTCTGAGCGCTACTGTTGCTGTAGTTAAAACCAGGGGAATAATAGTCCAACGTCCTTTGAAAACGCATCTACACACTGTATCATGATAAATATGCGCTGCAAAAGAATGGCATATTGTAATGAATATTACAGGAATTTGAAAAACAATGGAGCTTTAAAAGTTGTCAAAGCTTGATATCTTAAAGGCCTTTGCGATCATGATGTAGAAACAAAGATGAAATTAAACTAAATAACCTGGCATTATGGAACGCTTTGTCCATCTCCTTCTTGTCGAGCCGAGCGTGATTAGTCAGCATATCGTAGCCCGTTTTGAAACTCCAGTTCTCCTTCTTCGAATGATTGCCACCCCCTTCGGTGATTTGCTTGGTGTTGAAGAGTGTCCGGCAGTTCACGAAGTGCCCCAGAAGCGGAACAAGAACGGTGAGGTTTCTGGTGAAGGCGTAGCGATTGAAGATGGAACCCACTGTTGTGGAACCAGTTTTGTGGGTCTTGAGGTAGACCACCTTGTGGTGAGGGAAGCAAGTGGGCTCAGTGGGCCCGCGAGAAGGTACTGAAGCCATCAGTCTGGGAGAAAGAAAGGGATAGTCAAGAGATAACGGACAGAAGGGGGTAAGGATTGATGATAATTGATTATTAAAGATGGTAGACAAGCGAGAAGATATGGAAAGCATTAATCAGGAAAAATAAAGTGGGAGTCAAAAGAGAATGGAGAGAAAGGGGGAGAGTATTAGTTGATGAGAGTTCATTAAAGAGGTTTTATAAAGGCTCATCTGGGCCAGCTAGAAGGTATTAATCTGTTAAAGAGAAAGCGATGGTTATAAGCAGATGAATACTGGACGAAAAGACAGATGGAGGGGTACATGACCGATAATTATTATAAAGCGAGTTTCATCGGTGATGACGGTGATGTGTCTTGTGCGTCTTTAGTAAAGTGTGGTAGGTACGAGGGCTCTGCCAATGTAAACTTATGTATGCATGATAATTAATTACCCTTTACAGAGCAATTGAAATATACAATCTGCGTCTAAGGCTAGGTTCACGATTGTGATTAATATCAATTACTGAACAATTGATAAACTGAATGATACCGAACGGTAATTAATCATTCATGGGTTTCACTTCTATCAATTCTGCGTTGTGATGAAGATGTGAAGTCATTATGGTAGCTTTAAATCAAAACAATATTAAAACGATGAACCATATTGAAACGGCTGAAAGCAGAGGTGTAAAGTGGGTCCAGCAATGGAAGTGGCACTGGTATTATCAAGAGGGTGGCAGCATGTTAACGAAATGCGAAAGGACACGACATAGGGATGACATAATAGAGGACTTTTGATATATTCTGTTCACTTTGCAGTCGCTACTGTCCCTTACCTTTCCAGTTCATCTTCCTTAATATATGAAATATTGGAGATCCAATGTAATTTTACGACTGATTACAAGTCGTTTTTATGTTTCAGGTCCAAGCTATATGGTGTTGCCATGGCTTCAAATAACTTTCCCTAAATGATAGAGGCTAGTTATTCGTCGGCTGCCCGCAAAGCGGCCGTTACTGTCACTGGCAATACATAGCTCCTACCACCTTCTTGTGGGCAGTTGATGATTTTCAAGGAGCTTTTTACTCTAGTTTGAGTTTTTGAAAGTAACTTTTTTTCAGTAACTCTCAGCTCTTGATAAATAGGCCCAATCAAGACGCAAGCGAAAGTTGTGTATCATCGTGCCACTCTCGTATGTGGTATCACGTTGGACAACTTTTGACAAATGACTTCCCCGAAAGCGTGATACCCCCTCCCTCCTTCTCTCCAGTTTCTGACATGATAACATTTACCTTACAACGCCGTACAAGCAAAGCAGTCTCTTAATTGCTCAAATAATTGAATACAATTTACAGATCCATTTTACTTGCAATTCCGTCAAGGCAGTTTTCCTCACCGTGACTGTCAATTCTATCGAAAATGAAAATAGACAGCTTTATCGTTCTCTTCTCCGTCCTATTCATATCATCTATATCACCATCTTACGCGATTTGTTCTGACCCCATCCAGTGTGCAGAAAGTATCGAAGGTAGGTTTATGTAGAATTTCACTTTTCACCATGAAAACCTTTATTGAACGGCCATTTATTATGATAGTACATACTTTTGTTTCATTGATTTTACTTGTGATCGACTCTGGGCTAATTAAGAAGTTTTAATTCCCCTAAACAGCATATTTCTACTATTGTTGGAATGACCTATATTGATCAATAATTTCTCATGATAGTATACACTTTTGTTTAATTCATTTGACTTATTATTGACTCTGTGCCATTTAAGAAGTTTAAATTTTTCCCTAAACAGCATATTTATATCACTGATGGAATAACATATAATTATTGTTCAGTCATCATGATAGTTGATTTGATTTGATTTGATTTGATTTATTTATTTCTGTTTGATTTTCTTTTTCTGTGGCATTTTTACAAATATATAACAAACAAAACATTGCAAATTTTACACATTTCAAAAGAATATAATGTCGAATAAAGTAACTGATTGAAAACATCAAACAGTTCACACTTATATTTTATTAAACATACTTGTGATTGACTCTGGGTCAATCCTCACTTCAAGGTATTTGTTTGGTTTGCCGTCGGTCGCGAGCCGGTCTCGTTGTAGCGACTGGGTTATATTATTGCCATGGTATCTCTCCTTCTACAGAACATGCACCACTGGCTTGCTTTTCTTCTGAATGTCATCAAAGCCTTCACTATGTGGGCATGTCCGACAACGCATCGACCTCAACAATCTGCTTGGACCGATGTCAGGATATTGGATATCCTCTTGCGGGAATGCAACGGGGCTCAAAGTGTTATTGTCTTTGTCAAGAGACCTGCGTAGAGCGAATTGGTGTCTACTGTTCACTTCCTTGTGTAGGATACCAGGTTCCAACTGAATGTGTAGGCATTGGCGTTATGACTTTGTTTGAAGGTGAGGCATCAAATCATATTTTAACATATATCATGATTGAAAAAATATATAACTTTCAATAAAATTTTACTCGTTAAAAGAAAAGAAAGGGGGAAAAGAAAGCAAGAAAAATGAAAAACACAACAAAACAAAAAATAGTTGACACTTTTGATAACTCAAACTGAAAATTCGTATCAGGCTGATATAAAATGTATACCTCAGTCACACCGATTCTAGGAGAATAACCCTTTGGGCAGTCACCCCATGGAAAACAACCCCCCGGAAAACAACCCCCAAAGGACAATTAACGCTCGGAAAAATACACCCCCCCCCCCCCACCCGGATAAATACTCCCCGAGGACAATTAGGAACTGACACATCGAGAGGTGGCTACGAGCCCATAAAATCCCATGCATGGACCCACATTCGTTCAAATTCTATAGCACGTTATCTTCCTCATACTACACATTTCCATTTAATTTTATGCAACACCAGTGCGGTTGCTGTTTTCCACGAAGGATGACAGTTTTAAGTTATTGTCCAGCGCGTCTCAAAATGCATGGAAATACATTTTTCCTGGAGTACCATTACTTCAACTTTTTGTTAAGAAATGACAAGTTTCTCCTTATCCCAAATTCTTCACAGACTATTTATTTTACATCACTCTGGCCCTCATCAAGTGCTATTTACACATAATTTTATGGGCACATTTGTTTCTTAATTTAGCGAACAAACAAGAATATTAAAAAAAAAGGAGAAGACATTTTCAAACTGGTAAAAAATTAGTTTGTAATCAACACACTAGAAACGATTTAAAATACTGTATGCGGGCACCTCGCCGCCGAATGTACATGAATGTTAAAAAATGATATATTCGGTCATGACCTTGATACACGAATATGAGGCTATTCGGGTCTCTCGTTGCCCTTACTTATCATGTTCCTAAATGCAATAAGTTTGGTAACAATGTCATTTCGAGAAAAAGATATAATATATATCCGGGAGCCTTGCTGTCAAAAAAGTGTCAGCGAACGACGAAGAAAGACACTTAATTATCTTTAAAAATTCCTTTCTCATGTAATTACATTCTCTAACCGTTTTTGATATTTGTTTTTCATAAAAACCAACGTTCACCGCTGCTCTGGAGTTACACAATCAAATGAGATGAATGTACCAGAGAGCGGATATTTTCTTTTGACATGGCACTGTCCCGGGCACCGTACATATAACTTGAAGGCAATTTCTATTTCAAAATAAATTACTGTACAAGAAAACATATTTTACTTCAGCATGACAACGGAAATATATATATTTATATGTCCATATACATACAGTGCGTCCCAGGAAAATCAATGTTTTATCATGTGATTTTCTCTTAGAAATTCAAATACCGCCTTAAAAATGACTTTTTAGTTTCCTCTCTTCAAATTGTTTTTAATCACTCTTGCGTGAAATATGCATTATATGAGTTGCATCAACTGAAAAAGGAGGATCTAAGCTTTACAAATATGTGTCATTTATTAATTATAGTTGTGATTAAGTTATGATAAAACATCGATAATTCTCGGTTTCGTTTTTTTCTGGGACGCACTGTGTATAACGTGAAGAAAACCTTAATTTGGGGTCAGGAATGAGGGCCCAATTTACATACAAAGACAAATACACGATCAGCCGATTAGAAAATTTACAGAGGATGCATAAATTAAATCTTACATCATAATATCATTGCTGGGGAGACTCAGCTGCGCGCAATGTATTGTTAAATCTCTAAAAAAAAAGTAATTTATGTACTTTACTCGGTGGCAGAATCGGGGGAATTGAGGACCCCCCCCCCCCCCCCCATCGAACTTCATAAATAACTAAGAAAATGAAAGTTTATGAAATTTTTCTGTAAAAAGCAATTTGGAGATAAGCTCGCAGTATACGTCAGAGTGTTGCAAATTCCTTGAAGGGTGATTTTCCTGGGGGTAGTTGTCCTCGGGGGGGGGGGGGGGAATTGTCCCTGGAGGGTCATTGTCCTTGGGGAACCGAACAAACAAGTACATTGACACAAATGGCCAAGAATCGGTTTGGAGTCGGCATGGAGTCGGTACGGAGTCGGTATAGAGTCGTTTTGGAGTGGGTATGGAGTCGGTTTGGAGTCGGTATAGAGTCGGTATGGAGTGGGTATGGAGTAGGTATGGAGTGGGTATGGAGTCGGTATGGAGTCGGTATGAAGTGGGCATGGAGTCGGTATGAAGTGGGTTTGGAGTCGGTTTAGAGTCGGTTTAGAGTCTGTTTGGAGTGTGTATTGAGTCGGTATTATATAGTCGGTATGGAGTCGGTATGGAGTCTGTATGGAGTATGTATAGAGTCGGTATTGAGTAGGTTTGGAGTTGTTATAGATTCGGTATGAAGTCGGTATAGAGTCGGTATGGAGTGGGTATGGAGTAGGTATGGAGTAGGTATAGAGTCGGTATTGAGTAGGTTTGGAGTTGTTATAGAGTCGGTATAGAGTCGGTATGGAGTGGGTATGGAGTAGGTATGGAGTAGGAATGGAGTCGGTATGGAGTAGGTTTGGAGTTGGTATAGAGTCGGTATTGAGTAGGTTTGGAGTTGTTATAGAGTCGGTAT